CGTATATAAATAAAAACTGGAAGGGACCTCTTATTTTGCTGTTTTATACCGTCGGTGATAATTACTCGGAGGCAATTTGAGAAAAATTCTGCACAAAGTATCTCCCATACCATATACCTAGATTATTAATTACTATAACGAATGTTGTACATTTAGTATAGCTATCTGGTATTATGTTTAAAAATATTAAGTTAAGACACCTACAATATTTCCTAGACAGATAAATTTATCTAAATAACTTAGTTAATAAATTAAACATAAATGAAATTTCAATATTTAAAAATGTTGGGAAAAAGGTTAAAACTCGGAAACATTAGTCTAGTACAAGGATAATAAATCTTTATAGTTCCAATCACACATTTCAAGAGACTCATCTAAAATTATAAAAAGTCGTAAAAACTATAATAATCCGTTAAAGTTTAGGTACCTCATAACTTATTCTTTTTAGGATCGGAGAAGGTATGTCTATGAACAATTTTATCTATTTAGACTCGATTAAAAGGAAGACTTTTTGGTATAGGCACCGAAAGCTCAGTGGTTACCAGATATAGGATATAGGTAAATAGGTTATAAATATGATTATTTCACACATCTCATGTATAAAAAAATGGATTCTTGCCAAATAGATACAGCGGATATGAAGATTGCAGCACAGGGTATACCATACATATATTATGCACACATTTATGGTATGACAATAAAGACACATTAATACACTATAATATATAGGTATATATATTCATAAGGGTAAGTGTACGGTGTACGTCGGTCAATTGCACGATAATTACAATAGCAGCGAGTGCATCTTGCATAAAATATATTATTTACGACGCAGCTGCATCTGATTCAGCGGACGGTCGGCCSCGAGTCTACCGGAAGTCTCCGCGAGTCGGTCCGTTTGCAGAGATTCGAAAGCGCCGAGAAGGGTCATTGGTACCCGTCGGGCTCCGTGTGTGGGCATGATCCGCGATCGGGACGCACACACGAGTTATATAGATTAATATTTACAATGATTATAACAGCGGAATACAATAATAATAATAATAATAATAATAATATAATGAAACAAAATACGATAAATAGATGTAATTGATTGTGTATAAGAACGCGCTGTGTGTGCGCGCACACATACGGTTTTTTGTGTCGAACGCGCGCCGGCGATTTTTTTTCACATTGGCGCGGACCGCCGTACCGATTACACGTGTCGCCTCGCGCGCTTTACCGAACGTCGCCGTCGCACACAAGCACGTCTTGAGTAGGTCTACTGCAGCTGCTTGTTCACGTGCTGCACGCGTCCCATATATTATATTATTATCTGCGCGCGCCGCTCACCGTATTTAAACAGCATAATTGTTTTACGGCGTGTGTTTGCTCGTCGCTGCCCCATGCACGGCCCGAGTAGCCCAGTGGCCTGCGCGCTGTGGCTGGCCTGCGCGGCGCTGCTGCTGGCGGCCGAAGCGGCCGCTCCTGGAGCTCGCCGWCACGATAGACGCATCAGGCCCGGGTTGGCGGTGGCCGCAGACAGGTCCACCGACAGCGCCGCCGGCTCCGCGATAGGCGCCGACGACTACGACCGCGACAACTACGACGAAGACTACGAGGACGGCGGAGATGTCCACAAGCAGCCTCCACCGCCGCCACCTCCRCCACCGCCGACAACGTCCGCGTCAGTCACCCTCGACCACCGTACGATATTTTTGTCGTATTATAATGATATATATATATATATTACTATTGTGCATGGTACAGCAAAAAAATGTCACGGGCGTTTCCCTAAGAGGCACAACACTTCAACTTTTTCAGCTTAAAATTGTTTT